AATGTAGTACTACTAGGTTTAATGGTTGTAGCCCCAATCTACATGTACATGTAGGTGCTGAGCTTCAATTGAGCTGGCATACAATTCAAATTTTGCAAAACTTCAGCATGTTACTGCACATATATGCAATGCATTATTGTATATAGTGAAAACTCACTAAATTATGTAAAATTTTTTAAATGATTTTAAAATGTTAGATTTCATACCAACAATAATAAAAACTTGTCAATCCCATTCAAACGAGCAAAATGTTGAGACTCTTGTATCCCAAAAAAACAACAACTGGTGACCCTATTTTTTTATTTTTGGTATTCTGATGGTACGTACTCATAATAAAACTATATGAACATGACATATATCGATAATCCTAAATTTGGTTCAAACCTCCTTGAAGACTAAATTTGATATACTTTTGTGTGGTTTAGGCATCTGGGTAATTACTTTTGAGCCATGTGGGTGTGGTGACCTCATTATCAGCTAAAAGCATACTTATTATTTATTAATAATTAATACCTCATTGATAAAGCATGCTCAAAGATCTAACAGGTGATCTATTGTATTCATCGGTTTTTGCTTTCATGCATATGTAAAAGAGTCACACAAAAAATCTATATTTAAATTTTGTATTATATTTTGTGGATGTTTTAGTATAAAACTCCTGCTCATGAAACGTTTGTACTGGTACATGTATAAACCCCCAAGTTACATCATCATCAGCTTAGTTCAACACAATACAAGCTGCATTTTCCCACCAATTTTCAAAATGATTAAACAAAACAAAACTAAAAAATACAACAAAATAGCCAAAAAGCACACAGATTACAACATGGTTAGAATAAGTTGTTTTGCAAAGATCCAGCAAACAAAATTCATGGTCAGAATTAGTCTGATTGCAATGATCCTACATACAATATACACAATCTCTGCTGTACATATGTATCTATTCTTCTAATAGAGTAAATAAGAAAGTAATGACATAATAAACAAATGAAGAATGAATTCTAGCTTTTTGAGTTTAAAGTTGTGAAACAGATAATGGAAGGCCTACAAAAATGTTACGTTGGAGGGTCATTCATGAGATGTTCTAGATATGTGTGTATCAAACATAAAATTGATTTTTTCTAATGTTGATGCAATACCTTAATTACAAGGCAAAATTTTGATGCACAAAATTTTCAGTATATGCAAAAGTATTTAATTAATAATCACAAAGATGTTTCCACTCAGACATTTGTTTAAAAAAATAAGCATTTATTCATACATGTTTAATAATAATAATTTTTTAAGAAATAGCTAAATAATTTAAATGCTATTATATTGAAAAAACAAGTCATATCAAATCTGAGAGAGCTTAGAAATAAACAATTTCTCTCCTATACATTTCCATGGTAACAAAATGTTACTTGAATTCTATTGAACATGGTACACGTACAAATAGAAAAACATGTGCCTTGAAATGAGCTTAACAATTGTCATTCGTACGCACACATGTGTGGTCCTGTTAGGAAAAGCTGTGAATTGATTGACTGATTGGGCACAGGAAGCTGGATTCATCAATTAATGTTATCGCTTCAATTTAAAATTTAAACAAATAGATTTTGTCATTTTACATATTTTACATCATAGCTTAACTGACAAAAACATACGACTTTGCATTTGTCACAACCTGTTACAAACATGTCACAACCTGTCACAAACATGTCACAACCAGAGTATGCACCTTATGATATTGTTGACAAGAGATTTATATTAGGGATTCTAAAGGTTAGATATTGGCCAAATAAATGAACTTTTGCTGGCAAACATGAATTCACCAATTAGAACTATTTCCAACGAAACTGAAAATGAGCAATCATGGCATTGCAATAATTCAGTTTCACCATCAATGGCACTGGGAGTAAAGCTCTAGAAACTTTCAGCTGCTAGACACAAAACTCAACATTATATTCATTATATGAATTGGTCACCATAATGATGAACAATGAGCATTGTACCCAAGAATATGTGATAAGTTTTATCAGACATCATTACATTATACCTGGTACTCCAATTTACTTCCAATACAATTTGTCTTCCACATACAACAGATCTGAATTTGTATTAAAGTACTTTTGTATGCTAACTGCTACCAGTGACAATCCCCTAGCAAATAAATTAGTTGATCATATTAAAAATATGGTAAGACGAAGGACAATGCTGCTTTTTTTATGAGCAATACTTGTTCACATCTTTTTGTTTTGATGCAAACCCTCCAAACCATCACTATTCTACTGGCAAGACTATCATACTGACCTCTATATTCAGATAATGTTTCGCCCTGTGGGAAATCTTTCCATTCAAAGATTCAAGTAAATTGAATTAATTTTCCAACAAAATCTTCTGCTCAAGCAACTCATCATTCAAATTCTCAGTACCTTGAATAAAGTGCGCCTTTTCGATTCAACCCTACTACCATCTGACATCCAAGGTCAACACATTCTGCGTTCTACAGTACAAACCATACATACTGCACCATGTTTTGCGCAGAATTGCAAAAGAAAATGCAATGAACCGTCTGTTTAGCCATCAAAGCCATAGTCATATCTGACATTCAGTGTGTTGTGTATTTTCACCCAATTCAATTATACAAATGCAGTTTTCGATGTATTTTTGGTGTTAACTTTGTCATCTTTATTCAAACTTATGTTGTCCACAACATACCAGTAATGTTAGGAATACATGTACAATTATTACAGCCCTTGCAGTGTTCTCCCCAGAATTCATGTCAAGCATCACGGTCAATTTGCATAACAATACATCTAATTTGCATAATTATATTTGCATAATACTAGTAATCAGTTTTTCCCAACCAATTTGGTCAATCTACTAATACAATTAATTAATACAATTAAGACAAGATATTTTTATATTTGATAAATTTTATATCATTTTACTGCATTGTATTTTATGTTTTTGTATCAAGTCAAATAAAGTTTGAAATAGAACAGCATAAAAAGGAAAACAAATTGAAAAACTTGTGTTATAGCTAGTCAGTGAATATAATGTTATCCATGGATGTAACTGGTTCATCATTGTGTACAAGTTTTAGTGCCCATGTCACTGTCAGTTCATATAACGTCGGGGGAAAACATCTTTTGGTTAAATTTATAAAGTCGGCGAGATATCGAAATATGTTGAAA